TGTCATGGTTTTGATGAAAGTACAGTAGTCTCCGCCTTAGATCCCACCGCTTACGACACTGGTTCACTTAAGATCCCGCTGTTGTAAAAACAAAGAATTTTTACTACACAAAATCATCCCCAAGATCCTGCTCAGATTCATTCTGAAGGTCTACATTCTGCTAAGATCCAACATTTCAGATCATAATTTACAGGACAAAAACCAATCAACCAAGAGCGAAAAGTTGAGACCACCAAACTACCCATTGCGCACTTCGTCACATTTTGTCCAATATCAGCTATCTTAGTTACAAGCTCAGCATGGGCTCATCCCAGATCAGCCACTCTCGTAGATGTGATCACATGAAAGTTGTAAATTTCGATGAAAAACGGTACAATGTTTGTCTAAGATGGAATCATACCAAGGTGTGAACTCGCCGACACGATTATTTTTCCCCAAACACGCACTCACATCTGAGCTCTCCATCTAAACTTAAATTACACACTGAGCGAGATCATATCAAACTGTGAACTCTTCCTTGACCATTGCAAAAGACAGAATTATAATTATTGTGGTCACAACATAATGGTGCGTAACGACAAAGGCGAGGGAACTCAGTCAGAGATGAAAAGCTATAAATTTTGGACAGGTAAAGGGGAGGAGCAACTGGATAAAAGTAGATCTTGAGACTCATGATAGGATAATAAGTGAAAATGGTATGCCTCATGCCACTGTGATTGGTCATCAAAGTTGACCGCTCTTTGCTCGCCATAAGTCAAAAATCCACCCAGGGGTCACGTCAGTTCATTTTAGAGTGAAGGGGGACCATTTTACAGATTGTGGGCTTTAACATGGGTCACCATAGTGGTGCATCAGTACAAAACAACGTTCGCCCAAGATCCTGAATTTTCCTTGCTCCCGAGCACTCGGATCTTAGACAGAGACTACTGTATTACCCATCTATCTTGAACAGAAGTCAAGATATTTGCAATCTTAAGGAGGTGGGGGTCTTTTGATGTCAGAAGAAATATTATCGAAAAAATAGCCGCCCAAGGCTGGTGATGGTGACTTTCAAAGCTGTAGTGTCCTTGAAAACTGCAAATTAAAATTTTTTGTGACTTTGATCAACGGTTTCAGTAAAACCCAAGGAGAAATGTCTTTTTAAAAGGATACATAAGGTGTTGAACCGAAAAAAGAAAATTTGAAAATAATTGCTCAACTGCCAGAAAAATGCTGCTTTCTTTGATTTCATTATTTCGATCAGCGCCTGATTTCACCATGATGTAACACATATCTATATAGTCTCTTTAAAGCTATCAATGTCAAAACCACTATTATCATAGTCGGAAGCCATATCAGTCTTGATTTTGTAATGTACTTGCAACCTTGAAAGAATCATTTATCAAAAACAGAAGCTGCATACATTTTAAACAATAAGTCATCACAATCTTCTAAAATGAAAGGTGCAGTATGATATATCTGTCTTCCAAACAAAGACTTGAAAAGTCATATGCATAATATTAAAAAAAGAGCAAAAATGGTAAAAGGAAAGTATAAGATCCCGTTTCAATATGTTTAACCTACTGTACAACGTTCAGGGTCGCCAAGGGGGTCACAGTGAAATCACAGCTGTCTCCCAGGAACAGGAAACAGTACAATATGATCGTTGTGCCATGCAAAGATGGGGGGACGGGGGGGGGGCTACACTTTACTTTTGCCATAAAAGTTATAGAGACTTACATTTGGGAGATGGTGCGCTAGCAGAATCAGCCAATAGGTCTGGAGGATTGCTCAGCATTTCTTCTGCCAGCCTCTGTGCTAAACGTGAAGCATCTTTTGTGTGGCCATGAGCATGCAGCGCTTCTGCTCTAGCAAACAGGATCTGCAATTTCACAAAGAGTTGAAGTTTTGGCTGAAAAGGTGCACCATAAGTGATGCACTGGTCATTCTGTGTTGGTAAAAAGCAACATGAAAGAGACAAGACACCTGGAGACAAGGATACTATAATAATCAGTCGCAACTACTGGCCACCTATTGTAACACAAAATAAGACATGAAAGATGAGAACCTTTTCAAAACCCAGTACAGGTACATTTTCACTAGTTTAGTTTAGTTTTAGTAGAGGTTTTACGGCGCTCGCAACTGCATAAGGTCATATGAGTGCCAGAAGATTAGAAGTGTTACAAGAGAGTAACAAACATAAAAAAAGAAGGAGAGATAAGGACGATAGATGTTTGATAGGAAAGAAGAAGCAAACCACACCACAGCACCCACCGGCCACCTACATTTCACTAGTTTATGGTCTATCAGCATGACAACTGTCACATTTTTACATAGGCAGAAAAGAACAAAAGTAGCACTGACAAGAAGCAGAAAGAATAGATTACATCATCACATTCACCAACAACTCACTCAGAGCACTGCACTTACAATTTGTTTCAAAGAATGCATAAGTAGACCAAGGACGTTCAAAAAGAGGAAAAAGAACTAAATAAGCTCACTTAAATTATAATGTAAATGAGGCGAGACCATATATGGCACAATCTGTACTGTATACCAATATTGAAACAAATGGGGCGTCAGGAAGCCAAACAATTTTTAAGTAAACATATGATCTTTACAATAACAAATCTTAATATGTTTAAGCGATTGCTCAATACTCATTTGTTCAATTCTTAGTTACAGTGTGTTAGTAAGTGCTGATATATTTTGTTTTTACTGCTGTCCTTACATTTATATAATTACTGTACAGCTGTAAAAGTTCTTCTTTATGTGGTTGAACTGGGTTTTTTTTGTTACTGTGAAATATTTTCACTTGTGTGAAATACTCAGTGATTCTGTGATTGATGTAAAGCGCTCAGAGCGTATTACTTATACTAGTATGGGATAGAGCACCATATAAATGCAAACTATTATTATTATTACAAGGCGATTAAATAAAACTAACCTGAATACAGTATATTTTAACACATAAAATAACATTCCAAACATACATTAACTACCAGAAACAATTATTTAAGATTTTGTCATGCTTAATAAATCCAGTCATTCTTTGACACCATACTATGTGTTTGTTTTGATTATCACCCTTTTTGTCTTAAATTAAGAGAAAAAAATAATAAAGCACAAAAGCACAAGAAACTAAAATGATAAGTACTGCAGTGTCTCAACTTTTACAAAACACTTAACTAGCACTAGTAAGAGATATTTGTTTGTCTGATCGTATATTTTGAAACTATCCTTGATCATCAAACAGTCGTGAAAATATATTTTTTCTTCAAATACACATCCAGGACAAAGGATAAATTGTAAAACATCTCCTGTCACCAGTAATGAATGTATGGTTTTACTTCAAACAAATTGGAAAAACATCAGTTGTAAAATTGCAAACAGTGTAAGAACATAACAAATTTTATACTTCCCTTTTTTAAGCACGATTGAAAAAAAAAATCCAGATCTACTTGAAATCCTCAAGGTAGCATCAATTAAAGAAACATCTCAAATATTCAGAATGAGGCAAGCAACTTTCAGTTTACAGTTTTTGTAATTACATTACAGACTCCCATTCGCCTTTGCTCAGAAGAAAACAGACTAATAGAAATATTTGAATACAAGTGTCCATTCAAGTCAGACATCATGTTTCACCGTAAAGAATGAGCAGCATCTTCATAAGCTGCTGCTGGAGAATTAGTCCAGTCACTGAAACCCCAACTTCTTCAGTCATAAAACACTAGATGAAACAACTGAACATACATTTGCAAACATACCACCCCAAAAGGTTGAAATTCATGCAGAAAACTTGTCCAGTGCAAGAAAAAAAAAATCATACCCAATTTCAGGTTTAAAAGACAGGTTATATATTTGTTAGAGATTAGTCACACATGGACACATATAGACGGATAAAACAGTCAGTTGCACAAAATTTTCTTTCAGAGCAGTGAAAGATCCACCAACATGCCCTTCAACATTTGATCTTACAAAAGGGTAAATCATCATATTTCCTTGTCCTGTCATTCTGTTTATGCAACAGCTTACTATAAAGACACAAGCTATACTTACGCAAAAGACCTTTTTTTGTATCTTAAAGACTTCAATATATCATAACTTCATAAAGAATTAGCCCACAATGAGAGATCCGTCATCCGTGAGAGGAAAATGATCCAAAACTTACATAAATCTCAAGCTCAATTTTCTTTTATATCTAAAACTGAAAAGACAAAGATTTTAACAGCAGAATGTACTGGAAAATTGACATCCAATTATTACTGACAACTGACATTGCTGAAATGTTATAGAAAGATGTTGTTACGGACAATTCAATGTTGCGCAATTAGTCAAACGAGGCACGAGTCTCTGATAAGTTCCCTCCTAAATAAAAAAAAATATTTTTAAAAAGGAGAGATATGCCTACCATACTGACATCCATTTTTTGCATAGACAATCATTATCAAAGTCAAAACAGACCATTCATTTAGAATGACAAATGAGAAAATAGAAGAGCAAAAACTTGAATTTTTCACAAACCTCTTAAGACTACAGCCTCATTCTGACCAGTAGTAAAACAACTGAATAATGAATAATACACATTTCCATTGTTATTGTAACTGTGACGGTTTAGAAAAGGGTATAGTAACGACTCACGTGTGGAGGTAATACGGGGGAAGAGGGAGAGTCATGGGCCTTTACAACAACAAGAAACATCTGTTTATAAAGTCTATAAATAAATCGATTAGCGGACAACAACGCCCCTCCACCATCCCAACAGCAGCAGTCGCAACAAGCACCGTGACCTGTTGCTGCTGTTGCATGTGAAGATTTCACGGTTGCAATTGATATCCTTACCTCCATTTCAGTATCACATTCAGAATCAGTATCAGAATCAGAATCATCCTTAAAAAGGGGATCAGGTTGAAAAGAATGAAAGAGCAGTAACAACAATGGAGAAAAAAATGGTATAAATTAAAATGAGGCAGGATCAGTGAGGATATAACTCCTTCTCAAGGAAGGAAGAGAAAAAGAAAGAAAGAAATTATAAACATGTTGGAAAGAAAGAAAAAAAATAGAAAAAGACTGAAGAACAGCATTGCAAAAGTTCCTGAACATAATGATAGATATTTCTATTTAACTTCCAGAAGCTCTTTACGACATCTGGAGATTACCCTTCACTTCAAGACTTCAAGGGATACTATTTTCAGGGATGAAAATGGACACCAAAAAAACGAATCTGAAATTCTAGTGTGGCTGTCTCAGGTGGGAGTCTTTCGGGGGAGGGGTGCTCCCAGATATACCTTTATTTACACTCCTATTGCAAAACCATCCCCATAAAAGCAGAACTACAACCAAAAAAATATCACAATAGGCCAGTTCAAAAGAAAAAAATTATCAGATCTCAGAATAAAATCTAAGCTTAATTTAGTTACAAGCCAAACATGAAAACAAGGCTACAACAAGAAAAAGCCAGTACAGTGACCTCTTCCAAAATCTAGAAATCTCTTGGTACACTCTGTGTGCATGTATATATCATGCAAGCATAGCAACCACACACCACACTACTTTAAACATTTCAAACTATCAAATCAGGTCAACAGCGGCATGTAGGTTTTAAAAATCAGGCAGTACACTTTGTCATCCTTTGTAAAGAGGAAATATGTATTATGAAGCAGGCAAAAGGGTCAACCTACAGTATTTACAGTGAAAATCAGAAAGTGTGCAAGACAGAGTAAAAAAGATTAGAGGTAAATCAAGCAAACTTCACAACTGGAGGAGAAGGGGGACGGGAGTGAGAGTGGAAAAGCAATAGAGAACAGAATGAGAGAGAGAGAGAGACAGACAGATAGAGACAGACACAGAGACAAGAGAGAGTAACAGTCAGAAGGAGACAGAGAAAGACACAGACTGAAACAAAGAGACACAGAGAGAGACAGAGAGAAAGAAAGACAAGTCCAGAGGTCAGCAGTTTGATTGTTTGTTGGAACGAAGAGAGAGAGAGAGAGAGAGGGG